GAACATGCATGGGGATTATATATATATATATATATATATATATATATATATAGATAGATAGATAGATAGATAGAGAGATGTTCAAGTGAAAACGATAATTAAATAAGTTAACATGAAAAAAATATCAGATCTCGTGCAAAATCACGTGTGTGTGTGTGTGTATGAGTGTGGTGGAGGGTTTCAAACGTTGTCAAGATCAAAATAAAAGAACACGAGAACAACAATAATATGTGATTTTACAATGAACGGTCAACGTAAAGGTGTGCGGACGACTTGACCAGCAAGGCTGCAACCTAGGTCACACAGTAATCACATGTGATTTTGATGTAAAATTACACATTATTTAACCATTATCATGCTCTGTTTTTTGTGTGTGGTGTGTGTATATATATATATATATATATATATATATATATAGACACACATATTTCAATTAAAATGTAATTGAATGGGGTCATATGAACCTTCATATTCCTTTGTCTCCAAGCTGCAAATAATCCACCACCACCACCATATGGTCATTGAAATGGCACATGTTATTAGCACATGCAATTCAATAATTTCAGCCATGGAGCCATATGTTCTTTCTTGCTTATATGTATAATCACTTTATTCCCTTATAATAACATTTTGCATAACTCTAATTCATGACCCAATTCTAGTTTATTCACGGTGTTGGTAATATATCCTACATTTCAAAACGGGCCAAATCGTTGTATAATGCTAATATAACATTCTTTATAAAATACAAAACACAGGGTTCTCCTGAACTGATCATATATGATTCCTTCACTGCATGTTACGTATCTTGAATTTGTAACGACCCAAAAAGAGAACACGTTTACTTACAAAAGAAGCATGTTTGCTACAATTAGGACATGTACTTTAAGTTCTATAAGTTTATGCTTTGAATTTATGGTCATAAAATTGTGTGGCATTTCATCAAGATTGTCTTTAAGGTCAAAAGCCAAATATTGCATGTATTGAGTAGTAAAAAGGGATTCAATCAACCTCCTTGAATCAAGAGGTGTCATCCACTTTATGCTCATAGCTTCCTCTTTCCTCCTTTTTATTCGTATTTTTTTTATATCATACCAGCTTTCATGTACCTCTAACAGGTAACAATTAGGAAAGCTGATATCCTTGAGAAAACTGTTTGTTTGCTTTACCCATGTCATGATACTCTGACTATGTTTGAAATTCTATTCATATTGATCATTGACTGTATACAATTGTGATGGACATTTCTGAAGTATGATTTAAACGACTACATATCATTGTTTATTATATAATAAAGTGGGATCGGTCTCTCTGTTTCAAATTTGAAAATTTGGGTGGATTCATGATGTATTTGGGGCCACAGATTTAAAGGTTGATTGGTGAAGGGGTCCCTACATCATTGGAGGGTAAGTTACGTAGCAAGAAGCAAACTTTATGGCTCTAATTAAGGCTATGACGAGTGAAACGTATGATATCTTTCGGTCGGGAAAAGAACTGGTTGAAGTCACAAAAAAAAAACACGAAGGTGTTGCTCGTACTAGTAATAAGTTTAGTTTGACCTTATAATTACAGTTATACGTTTTAATGAACACGGATCTCAAACGAACTCCCCATTTTCCTCTCCGTAATGCGTGTTTTTCTAATGAAACTCTAACTTTCATTTTGATCCCGTTGTTAATTAAATAGAAAAAGCGTTATAAAATAAATTGAAGGGTCCGAAATAGCAACTTGAAACGATTAACGTGAAATTTTGAGTTGGAGTAATGGTAGAGTCAAATTGACAGCACACCCACCATTGACGACGACTTTTTGGTCATTTGCCTCCTCTTCCTAAGAATAAGATCCTATTTTCTAGCTCACACCCAAAATTCACCACGGTATAAACACACTCCAATTCTTTATAATATATATATATATATATAGAGAGAGAGAGAGAGAGAGAAATAGTTTGGTTCAAATACAACTCATCGCATTTGTACAACCAATGCAACCCACTGTATTGAGATATTTTTATTTATTATGATTTGAATATTTGAATAAAAACTTCTATGAAATCACATATTAATCAAATGAAATGGACGGTTGAGATTGAGTTGTATTGGTTGCACAAATGTGAAGTGTTGTATAATAACCAACCCCTCTCTCTATATATATAATTATATATATATAATTATATATATATATATATAATTAAATGAGAACTATGTTGTTTATGGTAATCGTAAGATCCAATATCAATTACAAATCAAATGTTAAATTAAGAAATGAATAGTTTGGATAATTTTTAATTTGTAATATTAATTAAGGGCATTTTAAGAATTTTATAAAAATCCTCTCTCACCTCTCCTCTTTTCTCTCTCCGGCAAATGACGAATCTTATTCCGATAAACCTTATGTAAACACAAGATACACATTATGATACTTAGATATATATACATACAAGGTGCACGATATGATACCTTTTGTAAAACAATGAAAATAACGAAAATGCACATTATGATATATTTTATAAAACAAAGAAAATACATTGTCATACACGTGAAACATTGTAAACGTTATCACTATAATACACTTTGATTCACAAATGTCTTTAAAATATGATGTATAATAGGAAATTGATATACTAGGTAACTAATTTTAATTAAATATTTTTTTCTAAAAATTTTAATTAAATATTTTGATTAGTTGTCAAAAATAGAATTACTATATTACTTTTTAGCTTATTTAAGAAATATCATTAAATATATCAAACGAATAGTTCACGTTGTTTCTTACGATTACCACAAATTAATCAGTTCTTCTTATGAATGAGCTTATATATAGAGTATATTTCAAATGCAACCATGTCCATTTGTATAACCAATGCAACTCAATTAATTGAGATATTTATGTAAATGATAAGAGTTCATTTATTATGATTTGAATATTTATGAAAGATGATTATAGTTCATTAATTATGATCAATACTTTATATTAGGAAAAAATCAAAACTTTTATGAAATCACATATTCATCAAATTAAATGGACGGTTGAGATTGAGGTGTATTGGTTGTACAAATGTAAAAGGTTGTATAGTAACTCATCTCTCTCTATCTCTATATATATAAATATAGATATAGGCTTAATTTTTTTGGAACTCATATACTGAAATTATTATGGTAAGATGTTTTTTACATAATTATTTTTAAGGTTAGAATTATATTTTTTGATTAACATATATTTGTTTCATAATATATTTACGGTGTGAAACTTTTTTGTTTTACGAACACATAAAAAATGTTGACATGATACATTAGTTTTCAAGGTTATTATAATTTAAAAATTCTTAAATTAAGATTGTTTTATATATATATATATATATATATATATATATATATATTAAAAAGGTACATGCACAATACAGCGAGATACATTTCAATTTTAATGTTTCATTTTTTTAACTCAGTCGATGTTATAATACGGTTTGACGTGGTTTTTGAGAAAACGATAATGTTTTTAGTTTTGAATAAAATATAAATATGAAGATATATCATAACAAATTGAAAAAAATAATATTGGTATTAATATCAAACTAACTATTAAAAACTTCTCATTTTTTGTGTATTTCTTTAATTCATTTTTTTATAAAGATAATACTTAAGTATTTTGTTAGAATTAAATAATTATCATACTTATATTTTAGGTATTTTATATTTAAAATGAGATGTTTATTCTCTATTTGATTATGTTTATCTTTAGTTAGTTACACGAATTCAAAAATAAAGTTTTAATAAATTATACTTATGCACAACTTAGTTATAATCTTAAAATTTAAGTAAATAAGCATTCTATAGCAGTAAATGCTTAAAAAGTAATTTTTTAAGATATTGAGATAGGTAATGTATATATATAGATATATATATATATATATATATGGGCTTAATCAAATGAGAACTGAATTGTTTGTGATAACTGTGAGAAACAATCTCAACCACATATTATAATAATCAATGGGTAAGATTAAAAGAAATCTTAATTAATGTAATTCTAAAAATAAATTACTATCATTTAATGACATTATATGAATAAGGGCAAGATTGTCTTTGTGATATATTAGGTTTTTGTTTATCTTTTTCTTTCCCTTCCAAATTTAAGGCATTGTTAGTTGTGACATAGGCTTAAGTAATTCATTATAATTGTTCAGTTTTCAAGTCTAGCTCCAGGACATAATCCTTCATACATGTATCGCCTCATTGCARATTACTACTYTGCTGATGATCTGGTTTTGCAACAGATGATACCACATGATAYCACAACTGTATTACATAACTAGGGTACTAACTGTTTGTAATACATGAGAATTGGTGTGCTACGTTGTGATACCCTGGAAATGATATGARAATGTATATATGATACATAAAAAGTTATAGCACCACATCATACACAGCCTAATGAATTTTTTAGGTACCAACTGTTTTGTARTACATGAAACCACAAATGTATTACATCAAAAACAAGAACATTTATTGGTACCACGTGATACCACAACTGTAATACGTAACTAGGATACTAACTGTTTTTCTGGTTTATTGTTTGTACCACATGATACCACAACTATAATACATAATTRGAGTACTAACTGTTTTTCTGGTTTATTGTTTGAATTTATTTAAGCGAATCATAATAATCTTTAATTTAGGAATGTAAATCAATATTAATTATTTTTTTGAAACAGTTCTATTTTAAAAATATAAATTTAATCTTAATTTACATATTGACTAACATACCCTTTTAATTTGATTTTAATTGTATAATTAATATATTAAAATGATTGGTTGAGATTGGTCCTCACAGTTACCACAAACAACTCAGTTCTCCCTTGAATAGCCTCATATATATATATATATATATATATATTTGTGAGGCTTTAGGCTTCAAACCGGTCCAATATCAGATCATATCATCGTCTTCTTCCACTGATAAGTGGAGAGAAGAGAGAGATCTATGCTTTCATCAAAGACATGCCTTTATCAAATCTCTCTCCCCTGTTAACAACATTTCTACTGCTTATCGCCACCACCTCCACCTCCACCTCCACCGTCTCTCTCTCCTTCAAAGAAGCACCTAAATTCTATAACTCACCCACCTGTCTTCCCGCCATTCATATCTGCTCCGATAATGCAGTTCACGTCGCCATGACTCTTGATTCCGCCTACCTCCGAGGATCCATGGCGGCCATCCTTTCCGTCCTCCAACACTCTTCTTGCCCAGAAAACATCCGTTTCCATTTCGTCGCCTCCGCCTCCGCCCACACCGACAACATCCAGCTCATGATCAGCACCTCCTTCCCGTACCTCCGCTTCCACGTCTACAGATTCGACGACTCCGCCGTCTTGGGTCTTATCTCCACCTCCATTCGTTCCGCCCTCGACTGCCCACTCAACTACGCTCGCAACTACCTAGCCGACCTCCTCCCGGTTTGTGTCAAAAAAGTGGTCTACCTCGACTCCGACCTCGTACTGGTCGACGACATTGCTAAGCTCGCCGCCACGCCCTTCGGAGACGACAACGACCGGAAAGTTCTCGCGGCGCCGGAATATTGCAACGCCAACTTCACCTCTTACTTCACTCCGACGTTCTGGTCAAACCCATCTCTCTCCGTCACCTTCTCCGACCGCCACGCATGTTACTTCAACACCGGAGTGATGGTGATCGATCTCGAAAGATGGCGCGAAGGAGATTACACAACAAAGATTATAGAATGGATGGAGCTTCAGAAAAGAATGAGGATATACGAGCTGGGATCACTTCCTCCTTTCCTACTAGTGTTCGCCGGAAAAATAGCTCCGGTGGATCACCGATGGAACCAGCATGGGTTAGGAGGAGACAATTTTGAAGGTCTTTGCCGGGATTTACATCCGGGACCGGTAAGCCTTCTTCATTGGAGTGGAAAAGGGAAACCATGGGTTAGATTAGATGGAAATCGAGCTTGCCCATTGGATACACTTTGGGCTCCATATGATCTCCTCCAAACTCCAAATTTTCTTGAATCTTGAAAATTTTCAACCATTTTCCCCAAATCATAATTCCATACCATACCACCACCATACCCGGTAATCAGGGTCGGGTTGATATGAGACCGATCTGTTTTCATGAGATCAAATTTTTTAACTTGAAACTTCACAACAAAAATACTGTGACGGTAAAAGAAAATCCAAACATCCACAACGAAGACACTGTAAAAATTACTTTTACGGTGTTTTACTGTGAAGTTTGAAGTGTAAAAAAATGCTCTCATGAGTCTCATGAAAAGAAGTTGGTAGACCAAGTCCCCATCAATATATATACACATATATTTACTCACGATTACCACCTATTTTCTGTTTGATGATTCTAATTAACCGGTCGAAGATCATCAAGATAATATTCTAATCATCGGTATGTTCTCTGGGGAAGACATGTTGCATGTATATTATATATAATATATATACACGTATTAGTTTTGAATCTTTTTTACTAGTATAGTATTGTAAAAAAAAACGAAGTTAAATGTAAAATATAATCTTGATCATATCGTTATATATGATGAAACAAATTAGAGTAAAACGTTTGAGTTCAATTATATCTGCTGTTATTATATCGATCGTTATTATGAACAGTTAATTGCAATCCGATATTATGGTTATAATTAAAAAAAATGTAGTGTTAAAAGAATTGTTGTGGGAATTAATGCTTTGAAAAAAAGGAGGCAATTCGAATGTTCACGTTTAAATCTTCTTAAATTCAAGAAAATAACTTGGAATTTCATTTATTTACCCTATATATAAATTGAGCATAAAATCATAATTAACGACCATCTAGGTTAAAAATTACAAAATAATCGATAATTATTTCAAAAATATTCATTTTATATTTTATAATATAATTAAAATTAATCTTCGATTGTTTTGAAGTTTTCACAAATGATTTAAATATTTTTGTGGGAAAAAATAAGGGTGTTCATGGGTTAGGTTGATCGGGTTGAAGACATTAATTTGAACAATCTAACTCAATGTTTGGATTTTCAAAAATCTTAACCCATCTCAACCTTACCCGTGTTTAATCGGATTAAATTTTCTTTTTCATAATTTAAATAATTCATTGCTTCAATTTTTAAATTCAACAAATTAATGGGACATGGTTCATGTGGGATGCTGGGGTGTTGCTAAAACTCTCCAATATAATTTGTTGTTTTTATTTTTTTTAAATTAATTTTGTGGTTAAAAATAATTTAGAAATTGATTTGATGAAGATAAATTTTATATATATATATATATATATATTTGGGATCATGTGAGACCAAGTGTTTTTTGTGAAACACGTAAGACCAATTATCAACCCTTGAATTAGATTTACAATCTGAACATTCATAATTATAAAATTGCCACGTGATCGAGGGTTTTTCGTGAGACTCGTAAGATCAATTTATGTTCATTGATCAACTATATAAGTTAATGATCTAATGGTCTAAAGTTGCACGGTGGCAATTTTATGATTATTGAGAAGTCTTTGTAATTTTGAATGTTTATATTGTAGATCTAATCAAAGGGTTGGGAATTGGTCTTACGAAAAACTTTTGTTCTCACATGATCCAAAGTCTATATATATATGATATCTCTTTATTTATGGGTACTTTAAGAATTTATGCGATAATTTCTAAATTAATCATCGAGCAAGATTTAACTTTCCGTGCGTTTCTAATAAATTTGATAGAATGGTTTGTTAAATTTAGTCGTACACTTGGCTGTGCTCGATGGGTCGTGGGCAAAATCACGAGGAATTAAATAAAAGTGGTGATTGCATGGTACTAGTTATCAATGGTGTGAAAGAAGACCAAACGACCATTTTATTAGAAAGATCCAAAAAACTGTCGGTGGTAGTTACATTTTCCAAAAAATGAAAAAAGAAATTATGATCATCTATAAATAGAGCGAAAGCGAGATGAAGGAATGGTCAAATTTCGAGTTTGATGGCTATAGTCCACATGGCAAACAAGTTATAAATGCAAGAAAAAACCTCACGGTATATCTTTAATACATTTACATCAGTCTCTTTCACGTAATATTATTATTTTTGTTGTATCCATTTTTTCTTATATGAATCCTCTGGTTATACGTAAATACGTTCATATCACTGTCTTTCACGTATAATCATTGTTTGTTTATATCCAGTTTTGTGACGACAACTGATGTCACGAGTTTCCATTCAAGATGCAAATTGTGCTAATTCCACAAATATGGTTCTTGTGGTTTGTTAAAGATGAAAATTTTGTCCCGTACACGTGGTTTATGAAAGCATTTGCATTTGGTGTCTTCTCTAACAGTCGTTAAAAAGTTCCGTCAAGTACGGGGATTTTCTTTCTTTTATCAAGATTTTTGTTTTTTATCCAATCAAAACGAAACCGACCAAAATCATGAAATCGATTTTAATCGGATAAAATGACAAAAATGTCTTATTTTTAACGGCTGTTAGAGGGAGAAACCATATCCAAACATTTTTACAAACTATGATAGTCATCTTATAATTTTGTAACTGCAAAAACAAAAAACAAATGTTATTTCTACCAAACCATAGGGACCGAAATTGTAATTTGTTTTTTTTTTTAACGTTGATTGTGAAGATTGATGATTGCGGGAATTGGGCATAAAAAATCGTAATTTAAATTTAAAAATAATCAAGAAGAAGTGATTGCACATGTCATGTTGATTAAACAAAATTCGCCCAAAATTCAAAAATTACTACAAAATACAAAAATAATGAATAAAAAGACTGTCCACGTGTTATAATAAAGAATTATATATGTGATACTAATTTAATTAAATATCTATAAATATTTAATATAATAATAATAAATATTGTAGCAATACAGAAAATTACATATCTCATCCTTGAAATATTTCTTAATTTGCAATTTTAGTCTATCGACGTTTTTTGGTTGCATGGTCGGTTAAAATAGTGATTTTCAGACGGTTTGGTCCATCGTATCAACTACCGGGTTGTTAAAACGAGGGCTATATTTTTTATTTCAACATTTTATCATAATATTTCTTGGATTTCTATTTTGTTTTCAAATCAAAATTAATATTCATTTGAATCACAAACAAGATCAAACTCCTAATGCACACCGAAATCAAAACAAACAGTCAAAAATAGAAACATGGGGTGATCGAAAGTGGGAAGAAAAACATGCAGAATATAGAAGGAAGGACAACATTGTCATAAAATTCGTTAAAAGAGAATCGTACTTTGCTAATTAATGACATATGTAAAGATATTATATACTGGTCCAACTATCCAAGTTAAACACAATAAGTCTTGTTTATATTACTGCTTTTTACCAGATAAGAGGAATATACACAGGCAGACACGTCGTTTATTGTTGACCAAAATGCTATCTTGATAAACTAAAAGAGGGAGTTTTACCGATCGATGATAAGTGTTGACCCGTTCATCCATAGACCATTCATACCCAGTTAGCGTTTATGTAATTTCTATCGATAAATGAGCTCTAAATCATTAAGGGTGAATATTCGAAAAGAAGCAAAATGGAGGGATGAAAGTTGTAAAATAATAATAATAATAATAAAAGAAAAGCATAAAGTAAAGTATTAGGTGGGTTTTAGAAAGCGCTTTTTAGAAGGAAAATATGGATGGAAGATGGTTTGGTGCCGACAATTAATTGATACATCCATGTGTTTCTGTTGCTAACATGCACCATCTCATACTTTTTATCATAATCACACCATTCAACTTCATATCATTATTTCCAAAAATCCATAGAAATAATTCATTCATTTAAATTTTAGTAACTTTTTTCAATCGAATTCCCATTTCAATCAGCGTTGATGTTTATGTAGATGCTTTATGTGTTTGTATAAACTCGGCTTTCAGATTACAAAACAATCTTTAAGTAAATTTGCGTACGGATTCACATTTATTTAACCTGTATGCGGAAAAAATTCCCAACCCGCCTCTGATGTGTAACTCAGTTGACAAATGGGATATAAGACAGATCATGGGTTCGATCTCAAGCCCTACACTAGCCTCAGTTGTTGAGTAAGCCAAAAATGTCCCTTCACATTGGTATCTTTGGAAGAAGGTTTCGTGTTGGACCAGTTGGGGTTGTATGTTGTCAACTTTTTGCCCAAATTTGCATAAGGATGCTTTTAATCAGAAAACATGCTTTTGTGTTTGTGTAAGCTCTGTTAAAAGTTGGAATTTAATTTCAAAACTGGCTAACAAATGAATTTGGTTGAGGAGATTGGTTATTTCAGTGAACTTGAGCATTTTTATTTTATTTTTATTTTTAAAAATATTTTATATTATAATTAGTGAAATAATCGACTATTAATGAAGTAATTAAGGTGGAATATGGCATTAGAAGTGGCATGGAATGCGCATCCTGCATAAATGCATGTTTTATTATGAATCAAGCAACCTCTAATTATTTGTTTAATGATTTATTGGGTGGTGGGAATTAAATACCCTCATTAATGCGTCACCTTGATTATCAAATATAATATAACAAATTCTCGATTTCAAACGAGAAAATGGTCAGAATAAAAGAGAATATGATAAAAACTATATCACATATGATGTTAAGATATATAAAATCATATGTGATTACAAAAAACGATCAACTTAAAGGTATACGACGACTCAACCAAGGTCACCTGTAATCATATTTGATTTAACCGTAAAATCACATGTTAACATTAAAATTCTCATATAATCTTACTTCAATCGGCTCCATATGAAACACGCCTCCAAAAACATCAATGTAAGGGACATTTTTTGGCTCACTCAGCAGCTAAGGTTAGCAAGGGACATGAGATATAACACAGGACCTGTCTTATAATTGGATAAAGTCTCACCACCTCTTTATAAACTGAGCTACACGTCAAATAACAATATTGTTATTATTATATTTTCATATTATTTATTTAATTTTGATTTCTTCTGATGGCTGCATTGTTCATTACCTATCATTATCATAATCTAATGTAAAATATATGAACAAAATCTAAACACAAATCTTTAAGTACCAAACAAAACACGACAAATATCAACAATACACCCATAAAGCGTACTCTATTTGGGCTTTTAGCTTGACCATACTATTGGATCGGCTTACATATATGATATAACCATATCTATAAGATATACAAGAAAACCGAAGCCCGTCATACGCAAGGTCTTAATCTAACCAGACAAAAAAATTGTGGGCAGCCCCGAGCCGAGAACCGATTCACAAGAGTTCGGTCAAGTCAAAAAAATGCCTGATTAAGCCCGAAAAAATATGGCCCGAAAACTTGGGCCCTTTTCCAATCCTTAAGCCAAGCCATTTTTTGCTTACTGAAAACGAGTTTGGAAGGCAAGGGACTGAAAAAGCTCGGACCTTATGTATCTCTACAAAGCGAATAAGATGTTACGGGTTACACCATGGTTTACGTTTTGATTAACAAAATCTTGAATTCTCTCGATTTCTCTCTATTCATTTCTCAGTATTCTTTTCGAATCAACAAAGTGAATCAAATAATTAAATATATAGAACTCTACTCCCATATCTTTTCATAGGGCTTTTTACTTACAAATTAATGGTATGGACGACTTATTGCTCAATTATACGAAAGTGTTTATATACGGCGATGTTTGTTAACAGCTTAACGAGCTTAATAGGACTCAACTATACATGACTGTTTCGGTAGTACTTTAATGATATAAAAAGTGGCTTATTCAATAAGTTCTAGGGGGAGCTTTATGCAGAAAGCAATTTTTTTTTTTCAATCCTGCTTCTTCGATTGAAAAACACACTCCTTTAAGCTATGAAAATTCTCTCTCAAAGAAAAACCTTCTCAACCTATACAGATAAATTAATCGACCCAGACAGCTTTATCCATATAAAACTTAATAGAAAACCTACCAAACAGCCCTACAATCACGAAGCCAATAGAAGTCAAAATGGAAAATGACTATATGAAATAAGCTAGAACCCCTCATTTGTTCCTATTAGACTACCTCAAATAAATTAATACCAGAAATACCCTAAAAGTAATTCAATCCTCTCTTTACCTCCCTCATTCAAACCCACAAGTCTCCCGTCCCTGATACAGACAAATTTATCTGACTCATCCAATCTCAATGGAAATAGAAGTGAACATCCCCATATCCATATGTCCAATGGGATATAGATACAACTCATGTATGTAATATTGTCATTTGAAACCTTTAGAAAGTTGATAAAATTGGACCTCATCTCCCTGCATATGTTTATAGTACAACTTAAAACCAAACAACTAAAAAGAACATAATTATTATATTTGTAAACAAACACGAAAAACGTAAGCATTTCGGTCGGGCCATGGTCCGTATCTCCATTTAAATTCCAAACTTTTGGCAGTGAAAGACTCCCGATATGCTTTCTTACAGCAAATTGGTTACCGATTTCCATTAAACGTCCCAATATTTGATCAACTGAAATCAAGGTACAACGAAGGGCCGATTGAAACATTGTGCATAGATCTCCTCTTTTTTTTTCTTACGTATTCTCATGAAATGGCTTATCATACAATCAAGAAACATAACTTTTGTTGGCTTCTAAATAGTCGTCATATTGTCCCTCTTCGTCGTTTCCCCTTCGCAAGTATCTGTAGTACACATACTGCATTATGATCTGTAAAAAGTACTTCTGTTAAGGTCAAACAGTGATTATAGTACAACAAAATCAACTTTATAAGACGTCAAATATGTCTCAATGTTATAATAAACAGTTTTATAGGAGTTATGTTTATAGGATCAAACAATTGCTCGCCTTGTGTAGGTGTTACAATAAGTTGATAAGACGTTTTCGACATTCTATTACTTTTTCATATGCATTTGACAAGTGCCTTATGAACACATCTTTTTATAAGAAACTTGTTTTTATAATAGTTTTCCAAACAATTTCATCTAAAAAGACTACTAGGACGTTTTACTCTAAAATTGTACTAAAAAACTTGCTACGACACCCAAAAACGTCTTATCAACTTGTTGTAATACCTTTACATATTTGATCCAAGTCCCGTAAGGCAGTCTATCAGGACATTTAGACATATTTAACGTCTTATAAAGCTGATTTTTTTAATGTCAAATTAGCTGGGCTTTTTGCTTGCAAAGAGATGAACAACAAAGGATACAAATGTATCAAGTGCCACACAGACTGCAGCATCAAGCAGCCATGGCAAGTTGGCCTTAATTTTCTCCCATTCTGTACTTCTTACAAGAATGCTGCACTCCAGAACTGTAACACTTCAGTAAACTTCAATGGCATTAAGATACAGACTTGGGATCAATGTGAGACCAAGCCGTTTTCGTGAAACCAATTTTTTACATTTGAAACTTCGTAGAAAACATTGTGAATGTAAAATTAACAGTGTTTTTGCTGTTACCTTCACAATATTTTGCTGTAAATTTTCAAGTGTAAAAATGTGGTCTCATAAAAACACAGGTTGGTCTCATTTGAACCCAACCCTTAAAGGTATATATAGATATGTACATAAATATATATATAGAGAGAGAGAGGACCTTCCAACATAAGTAGCATTTGCGACAAGAGCGAAGATGAACATGAGAGGATTCAAGCCCTGAACGTATATTTTGTGAAGTTCGAAACTTTGATTCGAATGACGAAAGAAATAGTTAATCATGATGCAAGATTCTCACCTCAACGCTGCCTCTTTTGATCTGTCAAGAATCACACGATAAATGTTTCAGAAAGTCGATAATGTGGTCAAATAAAGATTGTGATTTTCCAGAATCCGGGCCTTACATTTAAGACGATTTGAGGAACTCGACCGCCCATGTAAATAGCTGCCATCATCCACCCTAACCATTGCCCATAAACATCACCACTTCCACCACCCTCCTGTAATTAACATTAATCTAATTAACTAAACCAAATGCATAATCTTGATTGTGTTTGCTATAAATTAATTAATGCAGCAATTAGCAAAGATGATCATACTTGTAGCAACTTCCTGCCAACATAAACTTGCATTGAAGCTTTGATATGTGAAGGCAAATTCAACGAAGTAGCCAAGAACGCTGCATAGCCAGCCTGTCATTCACCATGTTGTGTTACAAAATTGTGAACCAGATCAACACACGTCAAGATAAAAAGATTAAGGGATGTTTACAAAATGTTTATCGGGTGTCACTTACCTTACTTACCTTACCGGGTGAGTATGAGAAGGACCGAGAATCATACCCAGTAAGTGGGGGAAAAGACTCTTGCCCAACAATCCATTTTGGGGGACAAAAATGTTACCCCGATAAGGTAAGTGAGGGTGATGACTCTTGCCAGTAAACGCTTAACCCAGTGAGCGTTGGTAATCAGCACCTAACTTGAACGGTTCAAATAAGGGTCCTTTGGTTGAATAACCATAAATGAGTTCTCCATTACGAACATGACCTAATCCTTTTTACCTGGTGTTCAACGGGATTATTTTGCTCATTAACCTTAAATGAGAATTTTATCAAGAGCATAAACTTCTGACAAGTTTAATGACATTCTTGTATATGGATGTGGTATTCTAAGCCTTGTCAAAAGGTCATGTATTTGAGAAAATTGAGAGAAGGGTCATTCTAATGAAGGACCGAGTTATACAGTCCCCCCCCCCCCAAAAAAAAAAAAAAAAAAAAAACTAGAGGGTCATTTAGCAAAACTAGATTCTAAAAGATGGTCATTGAGCTAAATAGCCCTTCAAATCTGGAATCTTTTGGACATTATCATTTTCTTGGTTTTTTTAACTTAATAAGCAGCCTATTTTGCGCTTAGTGTTTTTGTTTTTAGTGATATAAAAGAACGAAAAAGCCAAAAACATGAAAAGAAGCACATTAAAAGATTTGGCAAGTTTAAAAAAGTGGACTTACAGAACGTGGGATGGGTTTGGGTTGGGTAGCAGCTGGCTTGGGTATCTGAACAGATGACTCATCTTCTGAAGAGGAGTCATCTTCACCAGCCATGGCAGAAGCTGGACCACTTCTTGTTGCCCAAAGATAAGATCGATTTGGTGGAGTTGCACTTCCGGCCATTGATCTTGCTGACCTGGAAACGTATTTCATATTTCCATTCTTTCATCATTATAAATTACAATAGACAATAAGCTATAATGGTTCATGAACATAAAGACAGACGTGAAGAAATAGTCTTGGCGGGGCGATGGGGATGTTCTGATCGCGCGACTTTTTGAGTTCACATCACGTGGTTCTTCAGTGGTGTTCGATGGTCTAAGAGGTTTCTTAGCTTCTTCCACCTAAAAAGATCATAATTTTTGCTATTAGAGTTCCATTTAGGAATCAATTAACCTAACCAAAGGTTTTAATCTTAATCTTAATATTTAGGAATTAAAAGGGAAATATGGCAACGGTATTGTACCTCTATATTAGCACTAGCATCAGCCTTTCTTGATTTGAGCCATGTGTAGATATGATCATAGTATAAGCTTTGCAACACCAGGATTATTGTACTTATTGTGTAAAGCTGATTAATTAACAACATGGGTTAGATTAAACATGAAGATTAATTTCTTACTAAAGAAAGTAAAATAAGAACATTTGAAGAAATTAATCCCAAAAATATTACCGCAGCTGTGTAGTACTGAGTGGGCAACTGCATACAAAACAAAAAGAAACATATGAAAACGATAACGTTAAAGATTGACATAGATCTTAACAAAGGACTTAATTAACAGGTTTTTATCGAAATCTTTTATCATATACATGGTGTTAATACTCGTAAGAAATTGCAAATCAGATGAAGAAAATTCACCGTTGCAGGTTCAAGAAGACAACCCACTAGATTAAAGATATCCCTGCATCATTAAAACCAAAAACATTCATCGATTTGATTTTGGAAAACAACGAACCGAAGAATAAATTTGCTTGAGGCATTAACACAAACACCTACCCGGCAACCCACGTGAGGAGGAAAAGAAGCGAAACACCATGGCTGGATTTAGTGCGAAAGTTGGTGATAATTTGAGGGATTTCAGCGACACCCCAACAAACAAGACTCGCGATTCCCAACCCGAAAGAGATTTCGTCTCTAAGATTGCAAAGACAATCTTTAAAATACTTATCAACCCACCCAATACATGGTTTATTCTGCTTCACACAGTACGATACTGAGTTATTATTCAAAACCAACTTCATCTCTCCAATGGTTTTTTCGTATTCGACCCGGATCCGAAACAATAATGTGGTGTGTGATTGTGTGTATGTATATAATATATATCTATGTAGAAGTGTGTGAAAAAGGAATTAATGAAGAAGAAGAAGATAGCCGATAGTAGTTGCAGTAGTAAGTCCTGGGGGTGGCGTAATGACGTGAATTTACGAGAATACCCTTGTGTGTGGGTTTTTGTGAAACCGTCAAGCGATTGAATAGCTGTGTGGTGTTCCTTGAGTTCTTGCTCGAATTATTCAACCCCTTCCCTTTTTTATAGCTAATATATATATATTTATTTTATTTAATTTTTAATCATTTAGTTTGGTTTAATTAAATATTTATTGATTTTTTTGTTTCTAAAAAATTTGAAGATTTTAAAATTTCCTTTTATAACAACTAGAAGAGTATTTGTGCAATACAGCGAGGTACATCTAAATTTTAATGTTTTATTTTTATTATTTGTCGTTATTGATGTTATAATACGATTTTATGTGTTTTTAAGAAAGCGATAACGATTTTATTTTTGAATAAAATATAAATTTGATTTTTTTTTATATCAAATTGACTATTTAAAAGTTCTCATTTTTTGTGTGTAATTTCTTTAATTTATTTTTTACTATAATTTAATTTAAATTTAATAACGAAGTAATTTATTTTTGGTTTAATAATACAACATTTTATAAATATAATAATTAAGTATTTCGTTAGAACTCAATGATTATCCTGATTGTATTTTAGGTTTTTTATATTTAAAATGAGATGTTTATCATGTATTTGATTATGTTTATCTGCAGTTAGTTACACGAATTAAGACATAGAGCTTTAATAACTTGTACTTACACACAATCTAATTGTAATCTTGAATTTTAAGTAACATACATCATAAACCGTACTTTATGTATAAAAAATAGTTTGTAAAAGTTTTTATCAAATGTTTTATAATATATTACAGATTCTTATAACCTTCTCCATGATATTGTTTGCTTTGTACAAAAATCTTAATTCCCTTCTCCAACTGATACGTTGATACATCATTCTGGTTGTCGGTTCTGATACTATTTGTAACATTTGAGACCAATTATACCTAATATTATTCTTTTTCTTTGGCGGATCCAGAAACTTTTATAGTTGAGGGGTAGATTTTTTTTTCAAAACCAAATAATTCATCCGAATGAAAACGGTTTTGGATTTTCCTTTTTGGCTTGACCGGTTCAGTTAATCGAATAAAGATAACTTATTCATGTTGATTTTCAAATGACTTTTTACTAATTCTTCGAGGTGTATAATTTTTTATATTTTATATTTCAAATGAAAATATGAGCATGTGCTGCAAATAGATCAATTAACAATCAAGATATCAAGTTGGGGGCCCTTGTCATGTTCTTGTTGGACGCACAATAGGAAAATTTACTAAACAATTTTTTTATAGTTTTTTTTTTTAAAGATTGGTGGGTTTGTTAGGGGCCTAGGACCCCTACCACCATGTACTAGATTCGCCCTTGTCCACTTTGTCCACATCTAGACCCGTAGTTTTAAAATATGTCTGATAGAAAATATATTCAACCTCTTATAAGACAACTTTAGTTCTCATCCGCAACCGATATGGGAATCTTACAGAAGTAGTATAGAGGGGTAAAATTCTTCAAATTTAGAGAACTCTTAGAATTGATTGCTTAATGTGATAAATTATGTTTTTTTATTATTCCCACAATCTTACAAATAACAGCATTTGAAATTAAATGTCAAGGAAAATTAATAATATTTTTATTATTGGTATTGAATATTTAAAAATATAGTTAAAATTGTACTCTGAGAAAGAAAAAATCTGTTAAAGTTGAATGTATATTTTTTTAATGATATTTTTAGAAAATCTGTTGAAAAGCCTTTTAAGATTTTCCAAAGATTTCGACTCCGTACAAGTGTCAATTTATCTATAACACAAAAAGAAAAACAAGAAATAGCTTAGTGCTAATTTTTTATCATTAAAAAAATAATTATCTTGTCGTCTAATTTAATTTTGTGTGATTCATATTGGTCAGGGGTTTAATTATTTCTTTTACAATCATTGGATGTTAACTTATGGGTTTGATATGATTTGTCAGGTATGCATATACTGATTTAGATACTCGCATTCGTTCGAGAAAAATATAATGCAACAACTCTTTGGAATTACTTCAATTTGTCGGTTCAAATAAGAAATGTTAAATATCATCTTTTTTTCTTTTAATGATATTTAGTTTTTTTTATCTGAAACCTCCAACGTGTTTATTATTCTATCAAACCAGAGAAAATTTTAGCTCAACAGAATGAGAAGGGTGCAACGATTACCAAACAGTTCGAAGATGACAAATCTAATAACCTGATGAGCAGTTTACATATGAAAAAGACGTATGTTTTCTTAAAAGGTAATATTTTAAATTTTTGGACGTTCTTAAAAAGTAATACTTGATTTAAATTTTAAAAGAAATGGACCTTAATTGAGAACATATTTTGGTGGACCATGCACATATTTGTTTTGATGTAACGTTTAGCCAGAAATTGGACATATTCAAATATTTATTTTTATGTAGTAGTTACCATATATTACTGGTATGAAATGGACGATCAGTAAACACGGATGGGGAAATTACCCACTATTTTAACTCTGATATTGATTTGATAAAGATATGTAACTTTAAAGTTTAACCCGAACAAAGGTATGCATGTTGATGTGGGACTCAAACATGCCTTTTCTGGTTTGAGGCTAGACCGACACAGATTATCCTAGAGTGTTTAGAGGAACTAGATCGGTACAGACACTACCAAAAACCCACTTTTTCCGGCGATTTCCGGCGGATTTGGCCGCCGGAAAAAGTGGCGCCGAAGATTGTTTTTCCGGCGGAATTTCCCCGTTTCCGACGGATCACGGCCGCCGGAAATTCCTCGCCCGTTTATTCACAAAATCTTGATTAACTTAACAAACCCCTAAGTATTAAAAAAATAATTCCGACGGAAAATTCCCCGTTTCCGACGGATCACGGCCGCCGGAAATTCCTCGCCCGTTTATTYACAAAATCTTGATTAACTTAACAAACCCCTAAGTATTTAAAAAAAATCCGGCGGAAAATTCCGCCTGAAATCCATTAAATCCCAATACGGTTCATGAAAGCCCAAAATACGGTTCATTAAAGCACAATACGGTTCATTAAATCCCAATACGGTAAATTATTAATTTTTTTTTTTTTGATTATTTAATTTTCCGCCGGAAATGGAAAAAAATTTTAGAAAAATTATTTAATTATCCGCCGGAAATGGTAAATTTTTTTAGAAAAATTATTTAAATATCCGCCGAAAAATTGTTTATTCTTTTTTTTAAAAATTATTTAATATTCTGCCTGAAATCCGCCGGAAATGTTAAATTTAAAAAAAAATTATTTAATTTTCCGCTGGAAAATTGTTTATTCTATTTTTAGAAATTTTTTTAATTTAACGTCGGAAATGGTTATATTTTTTTTTAAAATATTTAATTATTCGCCGGAAAATTGTTAATTCTTTTTTTAAAGAATTTTTTAATTTTCAGCCGGAAATGTTAATTTTTTTTAAAAATTATTTAATTTTCCGCCGGAAAATTGTTTATTTTTTCTTTTAGAATTTTTTTTTAATTTTCCGCCTGAAATGGTTATATTTTTTTAAAAAAATATTTAATTATCCGCCGGAAAATTGTTAATTTTTTTTAAAGAAAAAATTAAAAAATCCGCCGGTAAAATGTTGTAATTAAATGTAAATTCAAGATTAAACTGAGTACTTAAGAAATCCACCGGAAATCCGTCGGTAAAATGTTATAATTAGATGTAAATTCAAGATTAAACTGAGTACTTAAGAAATCCACCGGAAATCCGTCGGTAAAATGTTATAATTAGATGTAAATTCAAGATTAAACTGAGTACTTAAGAAATTCGCCGGAAATCCGCCAGAAATCGTTGGTAGTCAAAAAAATGTTGACTTTTTTAGTGTCCACCGGAAATCCGCCGGTAATTTACCGGCGGATTTCGTCCGCCGAAAACGGCACCGGAAATGGTCAGTTTTCTAGTAGTGAGATTGTTCTAGAATGTCAGGGTTCTAAAGTGGTGGACCTTGACTCTGTGTAGGATTACTCTCTAAAAAAGCTACTGAGAAAAGAAAGAAAGTTTGAACATATATTGAAGAGAAATGATCCAAGTAAAGTTGTTTCGAGACTCCAACATATACCAACCACGAATACAAGAGATATGAGAAAATGGGTTGTTAGAAAATTAATGCAATTTCTTCGGCTTATTTGTGTAGATAAAATTGCACCAAATAAAGACAAAACCAAAGAGAAAACACGAAGCAAGTCGACAAAATAACATATCAAGATTTAGACTTCAAACTATTGATTATGGGGTGTACCACAAATGATATAATGTAATCTTCTATGAAACTATGATGCAACCAAAACTTTTAATTACAGTGCAAAATGTGATACCAAATTCGTAAGTACATAAATGGGCTAAATTACAGTCTTACCCTAAATCCGTTTCAAATTATATGAACAATTAACAATTTGAACATAAACAAAACCTTACATGTGTTGATAAAAGTTCTAAACACATGTAAAATTAGGTCTAAAAATTTGAATGGTTCTGATTAAAATCTCACATTTAACATGTTAAATATCAATTATATGATGTGAAAGAATAACCTAAAAAAAGTTTTCATAACAAAAAAATTTAATATATCAACTTATTTAAATAAAAAAAATTGGTATTTTAACTTAATCATAGATGCATGTGTTTGTACATTAAAGTGCAGAGTAGGAGCAATGCAAGAAGGAATCTACCGATAACATTCCTTTGATCCTTTCACCTTAAAGCATCTTTTTTCACATATCCGAATATTAAATTACGATTCTTTTTTTTTTTTAAATTAATTTTATATCGATAAAACATGAAAAAGATATTAAATTACATATGTTTTTAACCGGGTTTTTTACTGGTTATTATCATAAATAAATACATGGAAAAATAGTCATAATTTTTATTCATATTTAATTTATTTTATTAAATAGTTAAGAAATCGATGGTCAATGTCGTCAAACATTTGTGCTTGTGGTTTCTAATCTTTTCTGCTGCGTCTAGATGAAAAGTCGGCTCACTAAAAAGATAAATTAAAACATCGACGTTTATGGTACCTTAAAGATGTGCCTCGACACACAGGAAGCAGAATA